TCTTTCCCTTCAGTCCCAGAGATTCCAAGGCCTGCTTCTTCTGAAAGGCTCTGCCCCTTCTGGAACTCTGGGCCACACAGGGTCCCCCAGAAGGCAGCATAGGCACATGCATAACCCAGGGTGCCTGCCCACCCCAGCTCAGATGTTCCAGAGCCAGGACAGAAGTGACCAGGACAAATCAAACTCAGCGAGCCAGGCCTGAGAAAAGATGGATGTATATATATATATATGTATTTTTTTCCTTTTTGAATTTCAACCTCAAAAATATTCCAGGAAAAGATGGGGGAGGCTGGGCTGGGTCCCCTGCTGTGGACTATTGCCGCCAAGGAAGACTGTGGTCTGGCCCCACAGACAGGCTCCCCCCAGCTCGCTCCCCCCTGCTTAGCCCAGGAAGGGGAGAGACAGGAGGTGGTGGGGCAGCTGGGAGGAGGGGCCAGGCCGTGGTGCTTTGGGTGAGTCGGCTGACGCGGGGAGCTGGAATTGGGGGGCTGCGCGTGTGCAGTCTCCTTTCCCTGTGCCGGAGCCTCAGAGCTTGGCTGGAGGACCTGGACAGGTGTGGGTGAGCGGGCTAAGCTGGAGGTGGGGTGGGGGCTCCACGGGCGAGCCGTCTAGCTGATGATCTGCCGAGGCCGTCCATAGCCTGTCATGCCGGCCTGGGAGGCTCCTCTGTTGCTGCCCATCTGAAGGCCGATGACGTGCTTCCCCTCCTGCAGCTGGCTCTCCGTGAATTCCCTCTTATGCTCCTGGGCTTTCCTGGAAGAGGAGGGAGCAGGGTAAAGACTTGCCAGGACTCCTGTGTCTACCTGTTTTCTTTTTTTAAAAAAAAATAATTGTTTATTTAATTTTATTTATTCATATATTTCAATTTGACCAGAGAGGGAGAGAGAGAGGGAAGGTGAGAAAGCAAGCCACCATGTCCGGTATCCGACATGTGGGAGTGTCCAGTGCCTTAACCACTACGCCACCTTCTGGTCCTCATGTCTACCTGTTTTCTGACTCTTCTGGAGCTTGCTGACCCAACCCCATTCCCTTCCTGTTTCACGTCTTTTTTTCTCTGTAATCTGGTTTACCCCATAGGCTAGGGAGACTAAGCACAGGAGGTAAAGGAGTCCAGGACCAGCAGTTAGCATAATAGCTATGTCACTGGACTCCCATGTAGTCGACTGCGGTTCGAGCCCTGGACCCGGTGGCTTAAACTCACACCGGGTACATGTGCGTGTATGTGCACCTAAGATCCTGAGAGGAGAATGGAGGAAAAGGGATTGCGGCGTGGCCATCCCCCTGAAAGAAAAGAAAAGAAAGGAAGGAGTCCAGAGCCAGCCCTGTAGCCTTGTGAAGGAAGCCATATCCCATGTGACTGATTGTGTAGTTCAAATTCTTGAGAAACACCCTGGGCACATGTGTGTGCCTGTCCCAAGTTCTGAGAGGAGGAAGAGACGAAGGAGAAGGGATTGCTGTCCCTTGTGACCAGTGCTGTGGTCACACTGCACTGAGGGGTGCTTTCTCTCTCTGGTGAGAACGCATGTCCTCTGGCAATTAAAAAAACAAACAAACAGTAAAAAAATATTGGGGACCACTTCTCTCATCCTCAATCCCCATGGCATACCTTTCTGGCTACCTGCTCCCCTCCTCATCCCCACAAGTCGGTTAGCCCAGACCTCCTCCCATCCATGCAGGGATCTAGGCTCAGCGTGCACGGATGCCCTGGTGGCCACGTACTTCATAAACCAGTTGGGGTCTCCACGGTAGTGCCCGTCATTCTTGGTCACTGCCAAGCTGCCCAAGGCCATCAGGGTCCTCTGCACTGCTGACATGTCTTTGCCTGTAAGAAGAAGGGGTGCCGGGAGGACAAAGTCCTGGCCCTGGGATCAAACAGGACCCCAAGCCAGGCCTTGCCCCCAGACCTCGCAAAAAGTAGCCAGACCAGGCACACAAGTTGCCCCTGAATCAAAGGGGGCTTCCATAGACCCTGCGGCGAGCCCGCATGAGTGTGGTGTGGCCATCTCTGGGCCTACGCCCTCCTGCTCTGCACACATAAGCAGACCTCCCGGTATCTCCCTGCCCAGTACCCTGTCACCTGCAGACCTTACCTCCCTTAGCCCCTTTCCAATGTACCTTCGAAGAGGTCAACAGTCTGGAACATGTCGGTCTTGGTGACCCCGTAGTCCTCAGCAGCCTTCAGGAACTGAGCCACCTGCTCCATCTGCTTGAACACCATGGAGGGTGGGTTCTCGGGCACCTTCACTGGTTTGCAGCCGTCAGGGTACAGGCTGTTCACAAGCTTGCTCAGGATCTGCCAGGCACGGAACATAGCTTAGCACTTGGCTCAGGGCTGAACCCGCAACTCTCGGACAACACAGCCCCAGCTGGCCTGCCAGGGTGCACTCACCACGCCGTTCTTTAGCCAGACCTGGAAGCCCAGGCGCCCGCGGTCCGGGCGACCGACGTCAGGGCCACACTGCACTATGATCCACTCTATCAGCCGCTCCTCCAGCTCCTCGTCGTACTTCTTCTCGATTTTGGATTGCACCTCGCGGCTCATGCCATAGGAAGGACCCTTGTTGGCCATGTTGGGGGAGCACTAAAGGAGGACAGGTGAAGGGCACAGGTGTGAGGGTCAGGGAGCAGCCCTGCTTGCACATGTGCCAGGCGGACCTCCTGACTGCGTGGGGCACCCAGCCAGCCTCGGCATGTACCACTGCACTGCCCACCTACCCCAGGCCCTGCCAGGAGGCTGGGGGCCTGCCTGAACCTGAACAACTGAAAACACAATACCGGTTTTTTTTTTTTTTTCTTTTTTTAAGTTTTTTTTTTCTTTTAAGAAGTTTTTTTTTTTTTTCCAGGCCAGCAGGTGGCGGAGCGGTTAAAGGAACTGGGTTCCATATGCTTGATCACACAGTTTAAGTCCTGGAGCCTGTGGGTGCATGTGTGTGCGTGCCCAAAATCCCTAGAGGAGAATGGAGGAGAAGGGATTGTGGCGTGGTCATCCCACTGGGGGGAGCTTTCTCACTTTCCCTATCTCTCTCTGTCTGTCTCCGGCGAGTGCACATGCTCTATAGCAAACCAAAAAAAGGAAAAAAAAAGAAATATGTATTTTTTTTGTTTCTAATGAATGGGACCAGCAGATAGTGTGGTGGCTAAGGTGCTGGACTCCCACGTGATCTACCGCAGCTGGAATCCCAGACCTGGCAGTCTGTGTGTGCCAGGCGCGTGGGTGCGTGCCCAACATCCTGAGAGGAGAATGAAGGGATTGTGGCATAGCCGCCCCCCTGGAGGGGGGGCAATTTCACACTTTCTGTCTCTCTCTGTCTCTGCGGGAGGGCATGCGCCCTATAGTAAAAAAATCTCTCAAATAAATAAATCCACGAACAAGACAGACAGAAAGAGACTACACACAGCACCCCACAGGGCCCCCATGCTGCCTTCAGCCAGCCCTAGATCCCAGGCACGCGTGTGCTGAGTGTGTTCAGGGAAGTCTCCAGACATAAACTTGGGACCTTCTGATGATGGCTTGGCCTCAGAGAGCAGTGTGTGCCACCACCCTGCCCCAGTAAACTCGTTATACAGGACCAGAGATATTTAGGCTTCCTAGCCCTCATGCTCTGTGCTGGCGTAGCATGCAGGCAGCCACAGATAATCAACAAATGAGCATGACTTTGTACCAGTAAAACTTTTTTGTTTGTTTGTTTTATTTTTAAAGTTTTTGCCACAGGGCACCTGCACTGGCCAGAGACTGAATGAGAGGGAAAGTGAGAAATCACCCGTACAGGGGGGAAGGTCATGCCACAATCCCTTCTCCTTTACTCTCCTCCTGGAAGCTTGGCTACACACGCACATGCACCTAGCATGATTTTCAAGCCACCGGGCCTGGGACTTGAATAGCGGCTGGCCGTGTGGGAGTCCATTGCCATAACCACCACGCCACCCACTGGTCTCCCATAAAGCTTTTTTTAAAACAAAAACAGGCTGGATTTGGCCCTAGGCCATAGTTTGACCACACCTGGTCTAGAGCATTCTTTCGTTGCCAAGACTAGCCCCAGAGGCACTGTTTAGAAACCACCTTGCCCCCCAGAATAAAGCCAGGAGGCATTTGTCCCACTGGATGTGAGGTGGTCACCACCTCTGCCTCAAGAAACAGTTCCCTCCCACTCGTGCTCTTGTTCCCGTCCAGAAGCTGAACTCCCGACGCCAGCTCTTCGCCAGGTCAGCTCGGCCTCTGGCCTGCGGCTGCAGCGGCTCAGCCCTGGCGAGGTCTAGGACACCCAAGAGCTCTTGGCAGGGAAGCTGCGTCTCCTCAGGGGACCCAGAAGAGAGAAATGGCATTCGCATGGACTTCCCCGGCCCTCAGGCTCTGCCCACTGAAGTAGTTGAAGTTAGAGTTCTCCAGGGAATATTCCAGAGCCAAGAATCCACAGCCAGAGCATGGGAAGCCCAACCCTGTCTGGCCATGCTGCCCTGAGGGCTTGGGCCTGGCACCGTTCAGGAGGGCTTATGGGCATACAGGGGAGGCTGCAGGAGCAGGGGCTGGCAGGGAGGAGCCGGGGAAGGCACGGGCTTGGCTGGTCGAGAGGAATCAGACTGCCTGCGGCAGGTGCCATCCAGGGTGCTGAGCTGCTGCCCAGTGTTGGGAGAGCCTTCCAGAAGCGTCAAAGGAGGCCAAGCCACGCCCTGGCAGGGAGAGGTCAGAGGGCGGGAGGGGATGAGGGGCTGAGAGTGGGGCAACACGCCCTCGCCTCAACACACACACACACACACACACACACACACACACACACACACATACACACACGCACACACACAGTTCCTTCTCCTGTGAGAGCTGACACCCCCACGCCCCACCATGGGGAGCGAGCTGACCTCACACATCACACTGGTCCGGGGCCAGCTGCCGAGCCACGGCCTGCCCACGCTGGCCCCTTCCTGAGCCCGCGCTCCCGCCTGTGCGGTGGCTCGCTCTGCTCCAGAGGGCTGTGAGAACCAGACGGTGTCTGGGAGCCACCTCACACGCTCCTGTGCCTTAGCACAGCTCCTCCAAATGCCTGTTCTCTGCCACCAGGGCCGTTCTCCTGGAGGTGAGCTGGGAGCCAGCCAGCCAGCAGAGGCAGGAGTGAAAACCAGGTAGGTCTCCCTCCCACTCCGGCCTCCACCCACTTCTCAAAATCACTCCCCGAGCCCGTGACGAAGTTCGAGGGGAAAAACACCGATGGGTCCTCTGCAGGCCGGCCACCAGGCAGCTCGCTCTGTGTCCATTTGCTCGTCTGCAAAGGGCAGGTGGGGATGCAGCAGGTCTGAGGACAAGGTTCTCAGGGCACTGGGGGGCGCAGTGGGCCTCCTGGTCCGCCAGCCCTCTCCCAGCAGCGAGGCCAGAGAACCCAAGGCACAGACTTCCACTCTGCTGTTCGGCCACCCACAGCCGAGTCTCCCCTTCCCCAGCCTGCGTGGTGCCCCCCGCCCACTCCCAGCCACCCAAGGACGTCTGGGCAAGGACCTGTGGTGAAAATGCGCAAGTCAGCTGGTCCCGGTGCTTCTAGTCCCCTGGCCAATCTCGGCCCCACCCCACCACCTGACAGGCACCCGCCATCTTCAATCCCTTGCTGGCCTGTGTTCCCACCCCTGCCCTCACAGCTGCCCTCCCCTACCACTCCACACGAGGAACGGGATGGAAGGAGAGTCCCCCCCAGCTCCAGCTTTCAGTCTCAAGGGTCACACAGACAGCAGCAGGAAAGTGACATGGCTCATGGTGACAAGCACAGTATCGTTTGTAGCCTCTGGGTCTCAAGACCGTGTGTGGCTTAGGGTCAGAGTCGAGGAGGGAAATGAAACGCAGGTCACCCCCACCCTCGCCCAGCACCACCTCCTCGACCCCCCTGGAGAAGAGTCTGAAGTGGATGGTCTCAAGCCGTCCCTTACAGTCCTCTCTGAAGAGCCCCCAGCCTCACCTTCCAGCTGCTGGGGAGAGCAGAGGGAGGCGGTGGCTGCAGGGGCAGGTCTAGACCACGGCTTTTGGGACACGTGCACCAGACAAGAGCTGAGGCTGGGCTTGAGCCACCTAACCTGTGACTCTGTCGGTCTCCCCTTCAGTGGGCAGCCCCGTGGGCGAGCCTGGGCCGTGGGGAAGGAAGGAGGACTGCCGCAAGAGCAGGTGCACCTCTCATCCCCAGGGGCCAGAGAGCGCACAGCCCGGGGGCCCCGCAGGCCTGCTGTGCCTGCTCTCCACACAACTAGACACGCAGCACACGGGAGCGAGCACATCCGACCTGAGCGGGCACAAGGGCTCGCTTACTAGGGACACGCAGAGTGGCCCTCCCACACTGACCTGCCCGCCTCGCCCACCTCGCCACCACCGTTTCAATGGGAGCCAGAGGGGAATCACCCAGGCCCTCTGGGAAAAGCCAAGGGTCCCAGGCACTCCAAAGCTCCTCCTCAGCAGTCCCCACCCCCCAGCCCTCTGCCTACCCTGGGCTGTGGGGGGCCTTCCCACTCTCAGAACGCAAGAGTAGCCCCTAACCCAGCAGGCCTGCACCAGCCCCCAGCCTGTGAGCTCTCTAAGGTCCTTTGCCTCCCCAGGGGAACGCACCCTTCACCTCCTCGGATGTCCTACACAGAATGCCCTGGCCTAGCCTGACAAGGGGTGTGACTGTGGCTGAAAACAGGGGGCCTCCTTCTCACCCCAACTGTTTCTAGCACCAATGCCTCTGCACCAGCCAAGTCGCCTGAGCCTGGCCTGAGCCTGGGCCACCCAGTGTGAAAGAGGTACAGAGGTACGGGATCTAGGGACCCCCTTCTACCCCAGCTAGGACCAGCCCCCCCGTCCCACCCCTCTGTCTGGAGCTCAGGGATCCCTGCAGGCTGACTGTCCCAGCAAGAACCTGGCCACTGACTGGGAGGTCACCTGAAATACACCCACTGCTACCGTCATGCTGGGGCCCAACTTCCCTCTGAGCCCAGACGGATACACTTACAGGGGTTCCTGGATACACTTACAGGGGTTCCTCAGGCTCTCAGGAGGGAATGAGGTCTCGAGTCTGGACTTGGGCAGACAGGATGGGGCGCTGGCTGGGAGAGGGGTTTAAAGGGTTGCGTCGCGGGGTGATGTCAGCCTCCTCCTCCAGCTCGCCCCTCGACCCCCTCCCTGCTGAAGGAAGCCGGCTCTGCTCCCCACCCCCAGTCCCCTAGTGACTCCACGCAGGCTCCATATTTGGGGAAAGACACCAAGTTGGAGCAGTCTGCAGGGGCTGCCCGAGACATTCTCTGCGTGCTTTGGAGATGGAGCCGCCAGGCGGGGCTGGGCTGCCGGCGGGGAGCCGGCCGGGAAAAGCCTTTTATGGACAGGACCACAAAAGCCTTCCCGGGCCATTGGGACTTGGGGCTGCTCCTTCTTCACCGTTCCCTGCCCCTGAGTTTGAGGGGGCGGGCAAGATCAAGAGAATCTGGTCCTGGACAGAGGAGAGGGCCAGGGAGCTGGGGAGCCCTGGGATCTGTGGGGGACAAACCAGCCACCCTCTCGTAGGACAGGCTGAGGCACAGGGTGTACCTGCCCAAGGCTGCACGGTGATTGGCAGGCCCTGGGCACCCTGCACACTTGTATGGGTGCAGGGAGGCTGCAGACTCACCCCATTCAGATTGACAGCTTTCTGTTGGGGTGGGATTTGGGGGTTCAACAGCTGAGTCAACCTGGCCCCCACCCAGAGGGCAGTGGCAGTAAGAGGGTCTAAGGTGTGGCAGGACCAGAGACACTACCACCAGGGCTGGAGGCTCAGGAGGATGGCATTCTCTCCCTTTCAGTCCCTGCCTCCCCCTGGAAAACATGCACCCCATCACCCGGGGAGAGGACCCACCCACGCCCTGCTCTTATCTGGCTTCAGAGGTCTCTGGATGGAATAGGAGGTTAAGGTGAGAGATTTCCAGTGGGGACTCCAAGCTGCCCACCCCCTCCCTACGACACCCATAGAAAGGACCTAACACTCTCTACTACACACATATCCCTGGCACCACCCCAAGCCAAGTAAGATCCCAGAAGAGGGCAACCAGGTCCAGCAGCCAGGGCGGGGCCGCCTCAGAACCTCCACCCCTCACAGCCAGCCCCGCTGACTGCGGAGCTCAGGGGTATACGGAGCTCAGGTGCCCCCTAGTGGCACCTGCCAGGAAGATCAGAGCAAACTCTGTCCCTGCTATGTCCCAGATTCAACGGACACCGAGCCCCCAGTCGTGTCCTTCTTAGCGTGCTGTGTTCGGAACCAACCTTCCAGGGAACTCCCTCCCCATAGAGCCTGCCCACATCCATCACCACCCACGTTTCACGTTCGCAGAGCATCAGCGGGCCTCACGCAGGCTCACACCCAGGGAGGAAGCTCGCAACCCTGAGCCTGCAGACGCTCGGCCGGAGGTGCTTTGGAAGTGGTGGAGTGAGTGGGACCAACAGGAGAGGACCAGGCGAAGGCCTTTGCAAAAACAGGTCTCTCTGCCCAGCAGAATGCCTGGTGCAGAGTAAGCAGGATACTGGTAAAAGTTCACTGAACTGGGACCAGCGAATGGAGTAATGGCTATGTCACTGGACTGCCACATGGTCGACTACGGTTCAAGTCCTGGACCCAGCAGCTTCAAACTCAGGTCAGGCACATATATACATATGCCCAAAATTCCGGGAGGAGGGATTACAGCGTGGCCACTCACCCTGGGGGGTGCTGTCTCTCTGGTAAGCACACATGCCCTATAGCAAAAATCTCTTTTTTAAAAAAAGTGTACTAAATTAATGTTGCTGCTCAGGAGAAGAAAACTGGAGGGGGGCGGGGGCAAGGTGCTGGCAAAGAGAAAGGTCTGCCAGACCAAGTGGGAACTGGAGGACGCCCGCCCTACCCCCTTTTCCCCACATGGCTGCCCAGAAAGGGGAAGCAAACCGGGCTGTTTCTTTATTGAACGTGGACTCATTCACAGAAAACAGAAATGCAACCGTAGCATGGAAGGACATAAAATGGAGTTCTGAAAAAAAGATCCAGACCTGCCTCCTCTCCCCTGCCCGAGGAGCACAATAAAAACAACTTTGAGAGAATAAAACACAATCCCATCCCCGAGGCAGACCCCGACCCAACCTGCCCCATCCTTGGCAACTGGAATGGTCCACTGGGGTGAAGGGAGTCAAGGACTAGGGCGGCCAGGGGACTCAGAGCTGAGGCAACGCTGTAAACGCCACGGTTTCCGAGGTCTGTGTGTGAGGAATACTGAGCTTGGCCGAGACTTGGGCGGAACTCGGAAGCCAGCCCCAGGTCCTAGAGCCACGCTGGATGTGGGGACCCAGGGGGAAATGGTGTGTCCCTTCCTTCAGCCTCTCTTGAAGCTAGCCAGGGGGCTGCCGTGGCTATGGAGGAGGCAGGATGGGTGGGTTCTGTGTGCCACCCCCCTCCTGTACCCCCTGACATTCTTGGGCAGTGTCAATGGCACTGAGAGGCCCCAGGCTGGGGCTTGGCAGGACTGAGGGCTTGGAAAAGAAGGACGGAAAGGGATGCGTTGCTTCTCCCTCTGATCCGGGGGTTGGCATCAGGTGTCTGGGGGCTGATGGATGAGGAAGGGACCTCTGAATTCAGCCCCTGAGATTAGAAAGCAGGTCTCAAATTGGGCTGACCCTGCTTGCTAAAGGTCCTGCCCTGGGCCTCATGGGCCTTAGCACCAAAATCCTGGCACCAGCTGGCCAGCCCCCCAGTCCTCCACCCCATCCATCTTGGCTGCCCAGGGTGGGCAGTGATGGCAGCCAGGCACAGCCCCAGTCAGGCCCCGGACTAAGAGCCAGTGAGGAGGAAAGGGCCTTGAGTTCCAGGCCGAGGCAGGGAAAGGATGGATGGATACAAGGCATGAAATGAGGAGAGCATGGCCTTCCCTCTTTCCTCCTGCAGAGGGACAAATGGGGAGCCAATGGATGGGGGCTCGTGGAGGGCCCCAACACTTAGAAGAAAACAGCAATTTGACCAATGTCTGGGGTCCCAGGGGAGCAGGCCTCCTCCCCAGCAGAGGCAGCTGCATGGCTCAATGCCCCCTGAAAACTGCCTGGGCCAGCCCTGGGCTGGACTGTACCGTCCCACCACTATCCAGTGCTGGGCAGCGGGGCTGGGACTCACACCCCTGGCTCTACGGAGGTGCCCTGCAGAACACGGAGGAGCTCAGGGCTCCCTGCAGTAAAGCACTGGCCCGGTTGCGGCTAGAAGACATGGATCTTGTCCCGCTGCGTGGTGTCCAGGTCATCGTCCAGGGTCAGCAACACCTGGGGGAGACACTGGGTCAGCCACGGGGGGGGAGGTGGCTCTGCCCTGCCCCGCCCTCCTGCTTGTGAAGGAGGAAGGACCCAAACGTGGCAATGGATAACAGAAAGTGCCAGATGCCGTGGTCATCGAAGAAGTCAAGGAGGGGGACCAGCAGTTAGCATAATGGCTATGTCGCTGAACTCCCATGTGGTCTACTGTGGTTCGAGTCCCGGATCTGGTGGCTTAAACTAATGCTGGGCGCGTGTGCGTGAACGCCCAAGATCCCGAGAGGAGAATGGAGGAGAAGGGATTGTGGCATGGCCATCCCCCCTGGGGGGTGATTTCTGATTTTTCGCTTTCTGTCTTTCTCTCTGTCTTTCTGGCGAGCACATAAAAAAAAAAAAAAAGTGCAGGAGGATGCAGTCTCGGTTGTTCTCTCGACTCCGCGGAGGCTTTCTGTCTCTCTGTTTCTCTCTTTCTGGCAAGTGCTCATGCCCTACAGCAAAAACCTCACCAAAAGAACAAAACAAAAAAACACCTGTGTGTGTGTGCACACGCGTAAAAGAATGGTTTATTCCATTTTATCTATTATTACTATTTTTAAATTTGTGATTTTTCGCTTTCTGTCTTTCTGGCGAGCACATGCACCCTATAGCAAAAAAAAAAAAAAAAAAAAAAAAAGTCCAGGAGGACGCAGTCTCAGTTGTGTTCTCTCGACTTCGCAGAGGCTTTCTGGGGAGAAACAGGGATGCCGGGGCTGGAATTTGAACCAGAGCTGGCAATGTTGGATCTGGCTCTCTTAACCAGTAGGCTAGGGATGGCCCACATTTTAGGTATTTGAAGTATTCTTATTCTGTGATGTTCCTTTGCAGGATCACCTGGCATATGACAGAGTGTAACTGCAGGTTATAATGTGCCAGGCAAACACAAGGAAAGAGAAGGCACTGAAAGTCTAAACGCAGTGCTTTTCCTACATGCTGTAAAACGTACATCACTGCAGATGGTGTGGTGGTTAAAGCGCGGGACTCCCTCTGAGGAAGCTGCCTTAGGGTTTTCATCAGTGGGACTTAAAACTTAATTCTTGTGAAAACGAGGTACCCAGTATTTCTGTTAAGACTTGTTCTTTTGAGTGATGTATTAAATGCTGCTAGAAAAGGCCCATTACATTAAACATAAGTCTCAAGAGATTATTAACGTTGATAAAAAATCTGAAGGGGGACCAGCAGATAATGTTAATGATTATGTCGCTGGACTCCATGTAGCAGGCCGTGGTTCAAGTCCCAGACCCGTTGGCTTAAACCTCATGGCAGGTATGTGTGCGTACCCAAGATCCTGAGTGGAGAATGGAGAAGGGATTGCGGGTAACCATCCCCTTGGGGGGTGATTTCTAGCTTCCCGTATCTTGGGCAAGCACATGAGCTCTATGGTAAAAATCTCTTTAAAAAAATAATGAAAGAGTACTGGGTGGGACCAGCAGTTAGCGTAATGGCTATGTCGCTGGACTCCCACGTAGTCGACCACGGTTCGTGTCCTGGACCCGGTGGCTTAAAACTCACGCCGGGTGCGTGTGCATGCGTGCCCAAGATCCCGAGAAGAGAATGGAGGAGGAGGGACTGCGGCATGACCATCCCCCCTGGGGGGTGATTTCTCACTTTCTGTCTCTCTGTCTCTGTCTGGCGAGCGCACACACCCTATAGCGAAAACCTCTCCCCCACCAAAAAAATAATAATAAACGAGTATTAGGTGGGACCAGCAGTTGGCATAATGGCTATGTCACTGGACTCCCTAGTTGACTGCGGTTCGAGTCCCGAACCTGGTGGCTTAAACTCACACCAGGCATGTGTGCGTGCGTACCCAAGATCCCGAGAGGAGAACGGAGGAGAAGGCATTGTGGCGTGGCAATCCCCCTGGGGGGTGATTTCTCGCTTTCTGTCTCTCTCTTTCTGGCGAGTGCACACACCCTATAGCAAAAACCTCTCCAAAAAAAAAAAAAAAAAAAAAAAAAAAGAGTACTGGGTAAGAAGGGTAAAGAGAAGACAGCAGGACCAAAGAAATCGAGTATCCAGTGTCACTGGACTCCCTAGTTGAGTTTTTCTTTTTTTTTTTTCTTTCGGTGTTTCTATTGCAACAAATTCAGTTTCTGAGTTTGGATAGAAAAAGGAAAATCAGAAAACACTGGGCTGAGGTAGCAGTTAGTGTAACGGCTATGTGGCTGGACTCCCATGTAGTTGACCGTGGTTCGAGTCCTGGACCTGGTGGCTTAAACTCACACCGGGCACGTGTGCGCGCGCAGTCCCTCCACAGACACACACACACTGGGGGAGGTGGTGATTTCTCGCTTTCTGTCTCTCTGTCTCTGTCTTTCTGGAGAGCAAACGTGCCCAATAGCAAAAATCTCTCCAAAAAAAGAAAAAGAAAAAACACTAGGCCGAGTGGTGTCGAACTACAGTTCAGGAATTAGCAAGTGACTCGACGGTTCACCTAACCTTAGTTTTAAGGACACAGAATGGTGCGAATCCAAGTGTAAATCTGCAGTTAGAAACCAGCCTTATAAATACCCAGATAGCTGTGAGAACTGGTAACAAAGTTAATCGTTGACAAGCTTAAGAAATTACTCCCTGGGGACCAGCAGATGGTGTAATGGTTACGTTGCTGGACTCCAATGTAGCGGACTACAGTTATTCCCAGACCTGGAGGCTTAACACTCATGCCCTGTGTGTGTGCAGGTGTGCGTGCTGAAAATCCCGAGAGGAGAATGGAGGCGAAGGGACTGCAGCTTGGCCACCCCCCCCTTGGATGTGATTTCCCACTTTCTGTCTCTCTGTTCCTCCGGCAAGTGCTCGTGCTCTACAGCAAAAACAAACAAACAAAAAACTTCTCAGAAAAAGAAAAAAAATTACTTCTGCAAAGAAGCAAAAAAAAATCTCTTGAAAGGTGTTAAATCCTTACCTTACTAAATAAATTCTAACCAAACATTTTTTTTTTTTGAGAGGTTTTCGCTATAGGGAGCGTGCGCTCGCCAGAAAGACAGAGAGACAGAAAGTGAGAAATCACCCCCCAAGGGGGATGGCCACGCTGCAATCCCTTCTCCTCCATTCTCCTCTCAGGATCTTGGGCACACACACACGCACCTGGCATGAGTTTAAGCCACCAAGTCTGGGACTCGAACCGCGGTCGACTACATGGGAGTCCAACAACATAGCCATTACGCTAACTGCTGGTCCCCTTACTAAACATTTCATTAATCGCTTCAAGTTCACCATCTGAACAAAGTAGACAAAAATAAGACCAAGATTCTCATTTGCAGACCGCAATAATTTTAAAACAAACATTCTCATTAAAGGTTGTAGTAAAGAATGAGAGCAGTAATATAGAAAAACAAGATTTATTTGTTAAGCTCTTACAACAAAACGATTCTTATTTGAAGTACTTTGAGAACTTCATCCCAGTTTCACTTGTTCTGTTACAGAAAACTAATACCTAAGGGGTTGGAAATTAAAGACATAACCTAAGAGGTGGTGGCAGGACAGACTGGCCAAACACGGCAACAGGAGTGGACGTGGGCCAGGGTGCGCGTCAGGGGTAGCAGGTGTGGCGGGGTGTTTCTGAGGAGGCCACCTAGAGATGCCCGAATTAACCAATCTGGGCCCAAAACTAGTGTAGGACTCTTGCCCCTGTGGAGACAAGCCAAAGGGAGGAGCCTCTGGGATTTCTTTGTTTTTCTTTTTTGGGGAAGGGTAACCCAAAGGGCTTACCTTAGTTTCAGTCTCTGTTTCCCACCCCATCTATCTACAAGTCCAAGCTCCTGTGTGCTTCCACCACGTGGGCCTATGAGCTTATAGAAGATGCATACAGCGAAGACGGGAACTACAGGCCTACTCAGAGGGACCTACACACAGAGTGTTTGGGGGTAAATGATAAACTACAAATAATCTCGTGATTAAGTTAATTCACCTTTGTTAATAAAGGTCATGGTTTCCTCTGCTGGTGACAACTTGCTGTCTCAGTATAGTCTGTCTTAAGAAAGAACTGGTTCAGGTCGAGCTGAAGACGTACAAAGACTTTCATCAACCGCACTTGAGTGGAAGAGACAACACGTTCTCTCCTAGTTAAGAGCAGAGCCTGTAAAACATACGATGCACACTATTTATAATAATCATGACGGCTAGTTAATGAATACCGAGTCAAGAATGTCAGGGGACATAGCTATATTAGATCTCCGTGTTGGAAACAACCCTGCCAGGTGGTTATCATCATCCCCATTTGACAGATGAGGAGACTGAAGACTAGCAAAGTTATCTGTCTTGTCCAAAGGCACAGAGATCCCATCACTCATCGGCTTTCCCCTCCACCGGTCCCATCCAGGGAGAGGTCCCCATTCCATTACCGTGAAATTATTAATGGTTGCATAAACACACCATCCATGTTCACCCTTTCAAGGAACATACAATTTTAAACAATTACAAATTTACAGATAGGAGCCAGGAGGTGGCATGGAGGTTGGAGCATTGGATTCCCACAAGGCCGACTGCAGTTTGAGTTCTGGACCTGGTGGCTTTCTTTCTTTCTCATTTTTCCTCTCTTTCTCGATCCTTCTCTGGTGAGCTTGCATGTTTTATAGCAAATTAAATAATGATAAATAATAATAAATTTAAAAATTAAACAGACAATTCTTCAAAAAATATTTACAGGTACTGTTTGGAATTCAGGTCAATTACCCAGATGAAGAACATGTATAAACATTATGAGTAAAATAATTCTTTTGTTTTGAGTGCTAGTATAAAATGAAAAGAAAACAAAGCAACAGCTTATTAGATAGTCTGTGGCTGTTTTATGGTTATTTCATCATTACAGAGAGTCATAAGGACTGTTGCCAGGGATTGCCGGAACATCTCATTTGCGAAGCTATCAGTGACATAACTAATGAGTTGATCATGATTTTCTTTATTTTTTTGTTTGTTAGAGGGATTTTTTGCTCTAGGGCATGTCTGTACACCAGAGAGTGAGAAATCACCCCCCACCCAGGGGTATGGCCACACAGCGATCCCTTCTCTATTCTTCTCTTAGGATTTTGGACACATATGCACACATGCCCAGGGTTAGTTCAAGCCTCTGGGTCCAGGACTTGAACCATGGTCAGCCCTGTGGGAGTCCAGTGATGTAATCATTACTCCATCTGCTGGTCCCGCTCATGATCTTTATTAATAGGGTAGTAGATGGTCTTTGAAAAGTTCTTTTCAAGAAGAAATATATGTTGGGACCAGCAATTAGCATGATGGCTATGTCGCTGGGCTCCCACGTAGTTGACTGTAGTTCGTGTCCTGGATCTGGTGGCTTAAAACTCACGCCGGACTGGGAACCAGCAGTTGGCGTAATGGTTATGTCGCTGGACTCCCACGTAGTTGACCGCGGTTTGCGTCCTGGACCCGGTGGCTTAAAACTCACGCCGGGCGCGTGTGCGTGTGTGCCCAAGATCCCAAGAGGAGAATGGAGAAGGTATTGCCGTGTGACCAACCCCCCTGGGGGGTGATTTCTCGCTTTCTGTCTCTATGTCTCCCTCTGTCTGTTTGGCGAGTGCACGTGCCCTATAGTGAAACCCGCCCCCCCCCCCCAAAAAAACCCACCCCGGGCCCGGTGCATGTGCGTGTGTGCCCAAGATCCCTAGAGGAGAACGGAGAAGGGATTGTGGCGTGGCTATCACCCCTGGGAGGTGATTTCTCCCTTTCTGTCTGTCTCTGTCTGTCTGGCGAGCGCACGCGCCCTACAGCAAAAACCTCTCAAAAAAAAAAAAAAAAGAAGAAATATGTGAAAGCCAGAAGATCCAGAAATCTGTTTTCAAGCTGTAAAAAAAAATAAAAATCAAAAACAAAAAACAAAGAACCCAGTTACTGTATCACTGAGCTAAAAGTATCATTGAACTGAAAATATCAACACCCTATATAAAGAATGTGCCCACAGTGCCAGCAGGTGGCGTGGTAGTTAAGGTGCTGTGCTCCCACATGGCCCACGGTTCAAGTCCTGGACCTGGTGGATGCTTTCTTGCTTTCCCTCTATCTGTATCTCTCTGCTGCAAGCCCTATAGAGCCCAATAGCAAATTAAAATCATAATAATAGGGGCCAGCAGGTGGCGTGGTAGTTGAGGGCACTGGACTCCAACATGGCCAACCACAGTTGGAGTCCTGGATCTGGCAGCTTGCTTTCTCACTCCCTCCCTGCCACCCCAGTCAAATTAAAAAAATAAAGTTAAATAAAATAATTCTTGGGGCCAGCAGGTGGATGGTGGTAAAGGGGACTGGGCTTCCGCATGGCCAACCATGGTTTGAGTTCCGGACCTGGCGATTTGCTTTCTCACTTTCCCGCTCTCACTCTCTCATTCTGTCCCTCCCTGGTAAAATTAAAACAAAGTTAAATGAAAAATATTTTTCTTAAAAAATATTAACAGAAAGATAAAGGGGTGAGAATAAAGAAAGACGACTTAAGTTGGTACCAGAAGATGTCTCAAAAAGTGGAACAGTGACGTTACTGACACCTGCAACTGTGGGAGAGATGTAAATCTTGCCAACTACTACCATTAGATTAATAAAGTAAGAGGACCTGGATACAAAGGCATTTCAAAAACTGGAAGACAGTCAGGATTCCAGAAAATAATCGTATAAGGTCAGAGATAGGAGGACACGCAGGGACGAAACAAGGACAGTGATTTAACAATGTGAAAACCCCACAGCGTGCGAAGGAAGGACACTGCTCGTCCACGCTGTGTGCCGTGAACCAACTACGTGACCTTCGGGTATCACCTAACTTACAGATGAAATGCTCATGCTGACAAAGGACAGCATGTTCTCAGAATAAAAAAGTGGCAAAGAAATCCTCAGGCAAAGCTCATGAGAACAGGTCACAGCAGAGGAAACTGGAGGAGTCTCTGTCTGCCATGAGAGGCAGGCGGGAAACGACCAGGGCATGCTGGCTGTGGACACCATCACCGCTCGGCGCCTGGTGCTAAGTGAGCCTGGAACACTACGTGCCCAGGATCTCGGCCTCTCATTTTCAAGAGGAAGAAAACACACAAGATTATGATTAAAGGCTTAAGCTCAGTTTGGAATTACTTCTGCTTCCTCCCTAAACTGAAAAGCAGTGAGCTGCAGCAAACCTCCGCTTTGTGTTTTCTGGAGCACACATTAAGGTTCCAAACGTCCCCAGTGAGGAAAGATAACCCGAGAGCAGACCAGGGCACAGGCTGAGTCTCTGTGGCTTCCACCTGAGCCAGGGGGGTGGGAGGGAGGTAAGTTTGAGGTCCCTGTTTCCAAACAAATGGCTAATATTCTCACGAGTTCACTGACGAGGGTGTGCGTTTGACTTCTAAGTATCCTCAGTGCCTGGTGCAGTGCTTGGTGTGGGGCAGGCATGTCTGCAGGAAATATTACACTGGACATCACCAAGTGTGCAGGCCTTGATTCGTAGGGGAAGAACTATATGACTTTCAGTGACTTCAGAGATATTATAACGGTATTTTCCAAACTGCTAACTAGAGTGTGCTCTTGAATTACAAACATAAAAATTCATCGTGGCGCATAATCTTATGTTCAGTACAAAGGGAAAAACAAGCGACTCACCTCAGAGCACATCACCCGTCTCAGTGATCAACGTCTGCATCCTCAAACTGCCCAGCCACCGTGGGTGTGGTGTCTATCTCCATCCCGTCTGAAAAACACGGACTGGCTGAGCAGCACCGCCTCCCACAGGGAGCAGGCGCACTCAGGCTCAGAGGGAACACTTCTCAACCAGAAGGGAACTACTGCCCTCTGCTGGTAATCATTGCTTTTTTTTTTCCTTGAATGTTAACAGTATCAAGGAAGAGAACTGAGAGGAAAGGCTCCATGGGGCGTGCCAGGTGGCTGAATCCCACAGATTGTGAGGACACAGGTCAGCCAGGTGGCAGGGTGAATTAAGGGGGCTGAATCCCACAGATTGTGAGGACACAGGTGCCAGTGATAGGAGCCCAGGGACAGGGGGAATGGGGCTAGTGCCAGGGGACGCTGAAAAGGCCAACAGATGTCTGGAAAGGGGCAGGAAGCAAGGTAGAAAGTGCACCCTTTCCAAAGCCACTGGCCAGATGACCCATTTCCTGCAACTTGCTCTCCCTCCCTCCCTCCTGTGCCCTGACTCTCCAGATTTGGTTATTCAGAAGGGCAGCTGACTCCGTGGTTTGAGTACTGGACCTAGCAGTGGGAAAAACATGCTGGACATGTGTGCATACACGCTTGAAATTCCAACAAGAACAGTGGAGGAGAAGGGTGTGTGGCACGGTCGTCTCTCCTAAGGGCTGCTTTCTCACTTTCTCTTTCTACGGTGAGCTTGCATGCCCGATAACAAATTAAAACAACAATAACAACAACAAGAAAAAGGCTACCTGTGGATTGAGACCAACTTAAAATTAGTCTATCTATTCTATATATGTAACATTGACTTTGTAAGTTTTCAACCTCAATATTAAAAGAACTCTATGTAGGAATGTCCAAATGCACAATTCTATGCTAAGTGTTTACTGAGACTTTTTAAAGGTATTTAATGCCAGGACCAGCAGTTGGTGTAATGGCTATGTCACTGGACTCCCATGTAGTTGACTACGGTTTGAGTCCTGGACTCGGTGGCTTAAACTCATGCCAGGCACGTGTGCGTGGGTGCCCAAGATCCCAAGAAGAGAATGGAGGAGAAGGGACTGTGGTGGCCATCCCCCCAGGGGTGATTTCTTGCTTTCTGTCTGTCTCTGTCTGGCGAGCGCACGTACCCTACAGCAAAAACCTCTCAAAAAAAAAAAGTTCTAATAGAGTTCGGTGTTTTAGATTCTGTAGGATTTTCTACGTAGACAATCAAGTCTGTAAATAAAGTCCTTTTTTAAAAAAGGTTATTTAGTCCCATCCTCATAAAGCTTACAACATAATCCAGAAAAAAAAGACAAGACAAGGAGTGAGCCTCTCATTTCTGCTCAGCTGCCCAATGAGAAGGCTCTGCCACTCTCTAATGTCTGCTGCTTCTATCTCCTAAATCTCTCCAGTCTATCGGGTCCTTTGATATTTACTGCCACCATCTCTTATCTAATTCAATGATGTCAATAAGAGGGTTCTCTTCTCTCTACCACTATTTCTCCTCTCCAATTAACTTTCTATATGGTGACCAGTGACATCTTCTGAAACAGTAATCAAACCAAAATTCTCCAGTGGCTTCCCGCCGGCTCAGGCTGATGCTCAGATTCAAGGAAGCTCTCAGGTTCCTCTCACAGCCCTGCCCCCCTAGCTGTGACCGTAATAACCACCCTCACACGCAAAATGAACTACTTTCCGGGCCCCAAAGCCGAGTGGTCTCCTACACCTTTGCTGTTTACCTGCCTTTCCCCCAAGCTAGTGTGCCGCCCCCTTCACCGGGTCGTTTCTGTCATCTGTCAGATCCTGGCTTAGAGGTCCCTCACTGCTCAGGGCCTGGAGCTTTCCTGACTACCCGGCCTGGATGGAGGGCCCAGCCCCCAAGCTCCCACAGCTCCCCCAGCGTCTCCTGTGTCATGGTGCTGTAGCTCTGTGTAGGTAACTAACTGGGTTTTCTCTTCTAGTACTCCATCAATTAAAAGGAGCAGGAACCTCACCTCTTTTGACCACACAGTATGCTGTACCTGCTGCAACAGCTCAATACTGCCTACAGATGAGAACGTGACACACTAAAACGCCACTAACGGCGTGTGTTTAACAGGCAGTGAAATGCTGTGGCAGTGAGGACCTCAGAAGACAGGGAGTGGCACAGATTAAAGTTGTATATAGGCAAATTCAATTATGTTAATGACGCTTACGAATTAAAGTCTTTAAATCCCAGTTTAGCAAAAAGGGCTGTGACCTTAAAATCACTTGCTCTACAGTACTAAATAAGGAAGTTAAGAAAATAACAAAACACAACCCTCAGTGATGAAAGGCTTTTCAATATCTGCAGAGCACTTTGGTTAATCACCATAATTTTAAAAGGTGACATCCAGCCGAGCCCATGTCAGAAGCTCACCAGCTGGGGCGTAAAATGAAGGATAAACATAAGAAATAATAGTGCCAAACGTTTCCAAATTAAAACCTCCCAGAACTTCAGAAGCCCTGGCCAATATACCATGTGAATGGACATATTCATCAAAGCACTAGGAGAGAAACTGAAAGGTACCAATAAAAGAAAAACTATAAGCCTCTCTTCTTTCTTGCCACTGGGACTGGCACAGCCATGTGGGATCTGACACCCTATGCAATGCCTAACCTCGGGGCATGGGGCTGGCCCTGTGGTTATGGGAATCAGATCCCATATGGCCAACTGCACAGTTTGAATCCCAGGCCCAGCAGCTTGAAAAAAACATGCTGAGCACGTTCGAGTGCATGCTTCAAAGCCCGATAGAATGGAGAAATGGAGAAGAAAGGATGCGGCATGACCACGTCCCACTAGCTGGGGCGCAGCCTCACTCCCCTTCTCCTGGTCTCTGGAAGAGCACATGCCTCCAGGCCAAAAAAAAAAAAAAAAAAAGTAGTCTCCAGATAATAAAAATACTAAGACTACAACAATGTAAAATGTCATAAGCATGAAATACATATTAAGATGTGAGAAGTGCTTATAATAGTGGTAGGTATCTATTTTTGCATATTAGCTCATTTAATCCTCTTAGTACTTATTAGCTATTTGACCTCAAGCAAGTTATGTAACCATCCTATGCTCCAGTTTCCTCATCTCTAAAATTTAGATCAGAACAGCATTCATAATGATATTCACCACACGATGTTTCTGGACAGATTAACTGAGTAAATATAATGTAAGGTGCTTAAATCAGCGTCTGGCCCGTAACAAGCACAATCTAAGTGCTTTACTGAGGGTAAACAAGATCGGAGTCACTTGAGGCAAACAGAGCTGTCCCTTCAGGTCAGAACTCTAGGAAGTTTCAAGAACAAGTAAGCTGGGGCCAGCAGTTAGTGTAATGGCTATGTCGCTGGACTCCCACATAGTCGACCGTGGTTCGCGTCCCAGACCCAGTGGCTTAAAACTCACACCGGGTGTGTGTGCGTGCGTGCCCAAGATCCCGAGAGGAGAACGGAGGAGAAGGAATTGCGGTGTGACCATCCCCCCTGGGGGGTGATTTCTTGCTTTCTATCTCTCTGTCTGTCTGGCGAGCGCACGCACCCTGTAGCAAAAACCTCTCCAAAAAAAAAAGAACAAGTAAGCTGAGGAGCATTCTTATATGTGGGTGACATGACAAGTGTTCTCAGACTAGCGATCTGGAGAAAGGGGATGACAGAGGCAAGAATTTATTTTTAATTTTCTCTAAAAGAAGTGTCAGGATCAGCAGATGGCGTAATGGTTATATCGCTGAAGTCCCACATAATTGACTGCAGTTCGATTCCTGGACGTGGTAGCTTAAAACTCACACCAGGTGCATGCCCCAAAATCCTGAGAATGGAGAAAGGATTGTAGCAGCCATGACGGGGTGTTTCTTGCTTCCTTCTCCCCACCTTCCACCCTCTAGTCATAAGCACATGCACCTTCAGGCATTTTTTTTTAAAAAAGAGAAAAGAAAATTTGAAAAAATTCCCATTCTACACAATTCTACATTTGTCTCCTAAGCTACGAAACCTGAATTCTGAGAGTTCTCTCTTAGACTTCCAAAATAGCCTGCCTGTCTCTCTATCACTTCCCTTATAGTCCGAGTGCCCTCTTGACTATTCACAGTGAGGAGAAAGACACTCACCTTCATAATCTCTTATTGAATCTTCTGTCCGGACCCCGGCCATATTATACTGGCTGCTCACGGACTGAGAGAGCATTCCTTCTAGTCTCTCCAGTGTGGCCTGTCCTTCTGCTGTTAAGTGAGACAGTCCTTCTTCATAGGTGTAAAATGTAGGGATGTCCCCCTGTCCTTGTTCTAAACGAGAAAAGTTTAAGCTTTTATACAGCACTGAGAAAAAACAAAATGGAAAATCAATAATATATTTACTGACGCTATGGTACAGTAAAAGCAGGCTTCTATGAAAATGAAAATATTTTTCTAAATTCATTTACAACATATACAGGCCATGGTTGAAGATATAAATACAAAAAAAAAAAAAAAAAGAAAAAAGAAAAAGGACCAGCAGATGGTGTCATGGTCATGTCGCTGGATTCCCACCCCACATAGTCAACCATAGTTCAAGTCCCAGACCTGGCGGCTTAAAACTCATGACAGGCATATGTGCACGCAGGCTGAAAATTCTGAGAGGAGAATGGAGAAGAAGGGCCATATATCTCCCTTCTCCCTTGGGGGGTAATTTTTCACTTTCTGTTTGTCTCTGTCTTTCTGGTGAATGAATGTGTTCTACAGCAAAACTCTCTCTCTCTCAAAAAAAAAAAAAAAAGATACAAAGACCATGTCCCTACTCTTTAGGATGAGAAGAAATTCTAAGGGATAATGAATCAGTTAATAGCATTTCCCAAAGAATCCCATGTCCAGGGACTAGAAAGAAAGAAGGCATTCCTAATGATAGGAAATCCTGTATTATCCCACGGTGGGAATTTTATGAGTACTAATTTGTACTGAGGTTTATGTTCCAGGCCAACCAGCAGTGTGGTGGTTAAGGTGGATGGATCCCACATGACCAACTCAACTGCATAGTTCAAGTCCCAGACACAGTGGCTTGACAAACACGCCAGGTGCATGTGCAAAATCCTGAGATGAGAACGGAGCAGAAGGGATAGCCGTGTGGCCACATCCCATTGGGGGATGCACACATGCCCATGCTCACTCTCTCTGGCAAATGCATGTGCCCTCTGGCAACCAAAAGACGAAAACATACAGTTTCAAAAAAACAATTTCCTTAAAAAAAAAAAAAAAAAAAAAATCAGAAATTTTGGAAAATATGAAGAGAAAAAACGCAAATTGTTCAAAAATTTCAGCTGCGACTATTTAGCTATGGGAAGGAGAATCCAGAAATGAGTTAGTCTCAGGTCAGAAAATAGGTACATATGGAGAAAAGGGCTTTGGATACCCAGACTGGTGTGCCTGAGACCAGTGGAAAAAAGAGAACAGCGGGCAGGCACCTCCATCTTCTAGACGAGGGACTACATTTTGGGCTGGGGAGGCAATGGGAAATATTCTCAGAGAAATGAAGTATAGTTTAAGAAAAAAGACATGACCTTGGCAGTGAGCTATTATTTCGAAGATATAAGTGATTGAGATTTTTAATGGGTGGAGAGGGAATGCTTGTTCTCGGAAGGCAGCTGTCTTAGCTTAAAAGATTTTTTTGGGGGGCCGGTAGATGGCATGGTGACTAAGGCTGCTGGATTCCCACATGACTGACTATGGTTCAAGTCCTGGATCTGGTGGCTTGCCTTATTTTCTCTCTCTCTCTCTCTGTCCCTCTCTAGTCAAATCAAAATAAGTCAACAAAACAATAAAGTTTAATCAAAAAAGAAAAAAAGAATGACTCAATCTATGTACCAAAAAAAAAAAAAGGCTTTCTGGACTACCTGCTACCCTATCTATCATTTTCTTTCTTTCCATTCATCTCTATCCACCACCACCACCACCCTCGCCCTAATGATCCCTATTTTTTATCCTCAAGTTTGGAGAGCCCATAAATTTGTCTGTTGTAAAGAGCTTAGATATTGTGACATTTACTTTTATTAGTAGCTATACCATACTGGGTTCCTGATGGAGCCAGAGTGAACTGCAATCCCCTGCCTCTAGTACAAATACACACTTGAAATGGAACACTAAGACAAACATTTTAAAAACCCACGTCACTAACCGTGTGCCTCCACGTCGTACTCTTCTCCATCGTAATCGTCTGAGTCTTCATCCTCAGGATCCGGATGCAAGGCCTGGCATTCACACATGGCAGTGAACAGCGCCTCCACTGAACAAGGAAGTTAAACCGTAACTAATATTTTGTTCGATGCACAAACTTTTATAATGCAATAATCACTACTGCAAATAAATTGAATGGGTAGACAAAGTATATTAGGGTAACAGTATTTACAAAATCTGCCAAATCCCAAGTACGACTGATCTCAAAAGTGCTGGAGGCAACAGGCCATAACACAATAAGAGTTCATCTGGAGATATTACTGGGCTCTCCATGGCGAGACGGATTTTCTAAGAAAAAGGGTCAGAGTCTCGGTCCAATCGCTGGTGTCGGGATGAGGACCCTCTCAGTTGACAGGGCTTGTTTCAGTTACCCTGGCACCTTGTATTTGGAATTGCTCTTACTCCTCTACCACCCATCAGATAAGAGTCAACAGTGTTACCAATAAAACTAACCAGGGGCCTCTATTCACAAAGCATACCAGGAAACACGGTACCTGCAATGCCACTTTCACAACCTTTCATATTAACTGCTATCTGGTCCTCCATGATAGCAATGGAATGGAGGTAGTGGTAAAAATGAGGGGGTGTGTGTGTCAACGTGGAGAATGACGCTTGGTACCTAATGGGAAAAGAATCAGTACTACAAAACACTCACATGCTGATTTATCACTAGGCACAAATCTAAATTCAGTAATAGGTTCGACATCATCATCGCTGTCTTCCTCCTCTTCTTCATCAACAGATTCTTTTGATTCTTCTAAAAAGAGAATGCAAGCAAATTTTAAATGCCATTTGACTTTTAACAAGAAAATCAAGCCGAAGTGGCTCAGCTGGAGCAGCGTGCACTTGCAGGACATTGGGCTCTGTAGGCTAGAACCACACGGGAGGGCTGTGTTTGAGTCTAACTTAAATGCTGACCATAGCTCATGTCCTGGCTCTGGCAGCCTGACAAAACATGTCAGAAACATATGTATGTGTGCCCCAAATCCCATCAGGATGAAGAAATGGAAGAGAAGAAACTGTAGCATGGGGGACCAGCAGGTATCATCGTGGTTAAGGTGCTGGGCACTGACACATGGCTGACCCACGGTTCAAGCCCCAGACCTGGTGGCTTGCTTTCTTTCTCTCTCTCTCTCTTTCTCTCTGGTCAAATTAAGTTAATGAATAAATAAAATAAAATAAATTAATAATAATAATAATAATAATAAAAAATCTGCCTATACTTTGGAAAAAAAAAAGAAAAGAAATTAAGAAACAAAAACAAAAACAAAAACTGGAGCATTCCAAATAGTTCAATAAAGTATGTTAATGCTAAATGTTTTCAGTACATTAAAGGAAAGTATACTGTAATAATTATTCTATAATTGAGTAAACGTCAATAGTACCAGCAGGTATAAAAATAATTGAGTCTTGGGCCAGCCAGGTGGCATGGTAGTTAAGGAGGCTGGATCCCACAAGGCCAACTTTGCAATTCCTAAGTCAGGTGGCTTGAAAAACATGTTTAGTGCATCTGCATGCATGCCCCAAATCCCAAGAGGACAGTGGAGGAGAAGGGACTGTGGCGTGGTCATCTCCCTTAGGGGATGCTTTCTCACTTTCCCTCTTTCTCTCCTGTGAGCACATGTACCTTATAGCAAACTGCAGAGACTTCAAACCTGCTCAATTGTTATCTCCTGGTTTGGGACTCTGCATTTGTAACAAGCTCCCTAGGTGTTTCTAATGTGTCAGGTTTCAGACCCAGACATTAATAAAATTCCCTAATGTTTTGGATGAAATTGACATTCGGAGGGGAAAATGACTTGCTTGGTAAGTTTAGGATAGCCTTTTTACTCTTTTTCTCTTTAGCTAGTATTTATTCAAAACCTACTTCTCTAGCCTTTTTCTGAACACCAATCTTGGCCCAAAGTCAATGTCCACCACTGGAGCATTTCACACCAGCATTTACTAGTCACTGACAGGGCAGCCGGTAGAATGGTGGTTAGTGCAGCTGGCTCCTGCTTGGCTAACTGTGTGGTCCGAATCCCAGACCTGGTGGCTTGAAAAACACACCGGGCATGTGTGTGTGCATGCCCAAAAACCCAAAAGGAAATCAGAAATGGAGACGGGATTGCAACATGACTTTCCCCATGGGGGGGTACATTCTTGCCCTTGCCCCCTCCACCAAGTACACCTGCCTGCTGGCAAATTATTAAAAAATAAATAAATAAAAAAGTGACTGACATGGGCCAGATCTATGGCTTAGTGGTTAAAGCAGCCAGATCTCACATGGCCAACAGTGCAGTTCAAATCCTGGACCTGGCAGCTTAAGAAGCACACTGGGCACATGTGTGTGCGTGCCAAAATCTTGAAAGGAGGGAGAGATGGAGAAGAAAGGATTGTGGCACGATGACTAATCACAATTATGGGGATGCTTTCTTCCCTCCTTCCCTCTCTGTCTCTTTCTGGTATGCAGCCTCTAGCGCACACACACACGCACACACGCACACACACACACACACACACACACACACAAGTGACTGACAGGTTTTTCGCAAGGTTTGCATTTCTATGAAAAAAATTAAAGTTTTGAACTAAACGCAACCCCTAGTAAATACTCTGCTATACCATAGCTGCACTTAAATGGGAGGTAAACTTTGTGCCTAATGCCTCACTAATAAGTCTTACTGCACCCTAAGGTCAAAAGCATTTTACTTTACCTTATTCTCTTTTTCAAATTTCACAAGGTATTTATTTATCTTTGAACCCTCCCCAATGGCAAAAATTTGAAATCTTGAGACGAAAATATTTTCAGACAGTGGAATCAGTCATTATGCCACTTAATGAGACGTCACTTGACAAAGGTCCTAAAAGTCAGTAAATAATGACTGTCACAATCTAATATAGATGGTTGTATCATATTGTGAACCATATTAAAAAATCCCAATTTGATAGAGTAATAGCTCAACAGGCAAATTCGTGGAACTGTCTCCTACACACTATTTCAAAGAGCAACCCATTACTTTTTAAAATTATCTATTTAATTTTATTTATCATTACTTTTTAATTTGCTATAGGGCACATGTGCTCACCAGAGAGACAGAGATAGAAAGAGAGAGGAAAAGCGAGAAAGCAAGCTGCCAAGTCTGAGACTCGATCTGCATTCTGCTATGTGGGAATCCAAGTACCTTAACCACCATGTCACCTGCTGGCCCTGAAACCCGTTATTTTTAAAGTGAAGAACTTTACTAGATTTTTGTGAAAATTTTGCAGTTATCTCCAACAGCCAAACTTGGAATTTTTTTTTTAAGAGAGATTTTTGCTGTAGGGCGTGTACGCTTGCTGGAGACAGAGAAAGACAGAAAGTGAGAAATCACGCTCCCGGGGGAATGGCCATGCTGCAATCCATTTTCTTCTAATCTCCTTTTGAGATTTTGGGCACACACGCACATGCACATGTACCCGGCCTGAGTTTTAAGCCATCAGGTCCAGGACTTGAACGGCAGTTGACCATGAAGGAGTCTCGTAACGTAACAATCATGCCACCTTCTGGTCCCGAAACTTGGGAATCTTGTAACCCAGGTTCTGAACCTTAGCCCTGCCAACATGGGACTAGGTAATCCTTTGTTGTGGAGCTTTGTCCTTTACAGGGCAGGTAGCAAACAGCATCTTTGGACAGCACTCCTCCCGTCAAAACGCTACTGCCAAATGTGGGGACAGAGCGGTGGGTGGAGAAACAAGGAAAATACCTCTCACTCCCCCACTCCTGTTAAGAACTACTACTGGGAACAGCAGTTAGCGTAATGGCTATGTTGCTGGACTCTCACGTATTCGATTGCGGTTCGCATCCTGGACCCGGTGGCTTAAACTCACGTTGGGAGCGTGTGTGTGCGTGCCAAAGATCCCGAGAGGAGAATGGAGAAGGGATTATGGCGTGGCCATCCCCCTGGGGGTGATTTCTCGCTTTCTATCTCTCTGTCTCTCTCTGTCTGGCGAGCGCATGCGCCCTATAGCAAAAACCTCTCCAAAAAAAAGAACTACTACTGTAAAACAAAACAAAACTAGTTCTACTCTGAAGTCTTACAAGCATAAAAAATTCACACTTGAGCTCCTAAGGATGCCTTTATCAACAGAAAAAGAAAATAAACAGTTAAGCTCACGCGAAAAAGTAGAAATACATATCCATAATCTCTGCAAAATCCTAAATTCAAACATACAGAGAATAAAAGGCAAACACACACAGAACAAATGTCCATCATAAGAATGTTGGGTGTCCAAACTATTGTACTGTGCTGAAATTTTCCTTAATAAACTATTATCCAAAGTAGGTCATTGGCATGAGTGTTTATTAGTATCAAAGACTGCTTTTTAAAATATAATTTGCAGGACCAGCAGTTAGCCTAATGGCTATGTCATGAGACTCCCATGTGTGTACGCTTGCTGGAGACAGAGAAAGACAGAAAGTGAGAAATCACGCTCCCGGGGGAATGGCCATGCTGCAATCCATTTTCTTCTAATCTCCTTTTGAGATTTTGGGCACACACGCACATGCACATGTACCCGGCCTGAGTTTTAAGCCATCAGGTCCAGGACTTGAACGGCAGTTGACCATGAAGGAGTCTCGTAACGTAACAATCATGCCACCTTCTGGTCCCGAAACTTGGGAATCTTGTAACCCAGGTTCTGAACCTTAGCCCTGCCAACATGGGACTAGGTAATCCTTTGTTGTGGAGCTTTGTCCTTTACAGGGCAGGTAGCAAACAGCATCTTTGGACAGCACTCCTCCCGTCAAAACGCTACTGCCAAATGTGGGGACAGAGCGGTGGGTGGAGAAACAAGGAAAATACCTCTCACTCCCCCACTCCTGTTAAGAACTACTACTGGGAACAGCAGTTAGCGTAATGGCTATGTTGCTGGACTCTCACGTATTCGATTGCGGTTCGCATCCTGGACCCGGTGGCTTAAACTCACGTTGGGAGCGTGTGTGTGCGTGCCAAAGATCCCGAGAGGAGAATGGAGAAGGGATTATGGCGTGGCCATCCCCCTGGGGGTGATTTCTCGCTTTCTATCTCTCTGTCTCTCTCTGTCTGGCGAGCGCATGCGCCCTATAGCAAAAACCTCTCCAAAAAAAAGAACTACTACTGTAAAACAAAACAAAACTAGTTCTACTCTGAAGTCTTACAAGCATAAAAAATTCACACTTGAGCTCCTAAGGATGCCTTTATCAACAGAAAAAGAAAATAAACAGTTAAGCTCACGCGAAAAAGTAGAAATACATATCCATAATCTCTGCAAAATCCTAAATTCAAACATACAGAGAATAAAAGGCAAACACACACAGAACAAATGTCCATCATAAGAATGTTGGGTGTCCAAACTATTGTACTGTGCTGAAATTTTCCTTAATAAACTATTATCCAAAGTAGGTCATTGGCATGAGTGTTTATTAGTATCAAAGACTGCTTTTTAAAATATAATTTGCAGGACCAGCAGTTAGCCTAATGGCTATGTCATGAGACTCCCATGTGGCTGACCACAGTTCGAGTCCCGCTCTCCAAAAATAATAATAATAATAATAATAATAATAATAATAATAATAATTTGCAAGGCCAGCAGATGGCATGGTGACTGAGGTGCTGGACTCCGACACGGCCTACCATGGTTCACATCCCAGACCTGGCAGCTTGCTTTCTCACTTTCCCTCTTTGTCTCCCTGTCTCTCTCTGGTGGCACACCCTACAGCAAAATACTACTATTACTACCACTACTACTACTACTACTACTAAATAAAAATTTAAAAATAATAAAATATAATATGCTACCAAAGGATAGATATAAATTATACTATACATACCTCCAAACCTGGCATTCACCATAACATACAAATGTTCTCGTGGATAGGCATTCAGGTCCCTGGACACAGCATGTAAACTAATGGTGGGGTATTCCAGTGAGAACCCTAATCCAGAGCCATCCAACCAAGACAGGCGGCTGAAAAACATGTTTAAAATTATTTTTAGAAATGTAGTATCTCAAAGTTTATAAAGGTTCAGCTTGGACCCTGTTATGCTTATGAATATAGTAAGCTTACTATTTAGAAATAGTCCTAGAGCAAGAAAATTCAACAACAGAAATGGAATTTTCTTCAAGACCTATTTCATTATGGTCTCTTTCCTCTAGCTATAAATTCAAATAGGGTTGAAATGCAAATTTTTCTATGTCAGGTGTATGTTCCTATTTGGAATTTGCTTCTACAAAACTGCCTCATCTGGTTAAGTTTGAGCTCCTTCATAAAGCACCCCCTTCGACTAGTCAAAGGAGTTAAAAATGACCTCCTCTTTTCTTTTCTTTCTTTTTTCTAAATGGATTTTTTAAAAGAATTAAATTGTTTTTTAATTTTAAATTTTATTTATTTATTTATTTATTTATTTATTTATTTATTTTTTTCACTATAGGGCGTGTGCGCTCGCCAGACAGACAG